CTTATTAGATGCATTTTTTAATGATTGTCGAACTTGCTTTTAAGCCTTATAAAAATGATACAAGTGTCCCACATATGCTCAATATTTTAATATAAATATGTATAAATTGCAGAAGATTTCTATTATGTTTCAGAGTATCTAATATCTGGCAAAACTAGCAAGTTTTGATGTCTTATATAGATAACATAGTTTGCAAAATTGGTAATAGTTTTTGCAATGATTGAGATTAACAGGAATGATTGGAGCATATCAGTATGATTAGGATTGGTCACATAAATATATAAAATCAAAAAATTTGAGAAGCCAAAAATATTTTGTTCTAAATTATTCTTTTACATTCACATTTCAAAAGATGGATCACTTTTGAAAGGCACAAATCCAAAATATAAAAGATAACAATGAAAAATAAGGGAGAATAATTCAATAAAAGTAATTATGTATATTTATTATAAACTATCATACTAAATGATGATGACCAAAACTTTTCACTTGTAGCTAAGATGACAGTAGGCTCCACAGTGGCCCAATGCTTCTTGAACATTCATGAGAATCAAGTATTGGATAATACAGAGACAAATAAACAAAAGTTTACTTGAAACAAGTGGCCACTGAATTTAATGCTACTTCATAATCTTATGACATCTCACTTCTTTTGTGTTGGGATCTTTACTTTCTTACATTTAGAAGTTTCTCTCTAACCTTTGCTTTCCTTCTTTTGATTTGCTTTCCTCTTTCTTATGTGGTACTGGATGGAGAATATTGTAATAGTGGTGGCAGATGGCAAATATCAGAGTTGCTATGACTAGTAAATATAATAGTAGAAACATCTCCTCTGTTACTCAATCTCAAGTCTATTTTGTTTTACTGTTCTCCGCATCGGTTTTCCTCTTCTACTTTTCCTTCTGCCAATCCTCTCTTCTTTTTCTTCTTTTCAGGCTATTGAGTAAGCTAGATTTGGTTAAAACTTGCCGACTAGTTCATTTTCACTAAGTGTAGTTTATTATGATATATCTCTGGCTATAAGACCAAGAAATTAGCTAAGACTGGATCAGCCTTGAACGATATGAAAATTGACTGACATCATGAATTATAATGGACGCGTCACTGGTACATCATACAAAGTATTAACATCTCATGGGTGACTAATGCTTGAGACATATACCTGAAATTCAAACTTGACATAAATCGGAGCTTCATCCATTTTTTTTCTTTTAGTTTTGATTTTTGAATACTCTTCCCTCCTCTTTTCTTTATCGTGTAGCACTATTCTCTCTTGATTCTTTTCTTTTTCATCTTTGTTCTTCTATCTATATTTATATTCATTTTCTCTTAAGTGATCCTGATGAAAACTCTCCTCATCATTCTAAAGATGTCTTTTCTTCACTAAAGTTGCTTGTGTGAATCACAGTTATAAAACATGACTTTGGTCTCTCTTTGGGGCATGCTATAGGTGAAGTAAGAAGCAGTTAGTGATTTTTGTAATTGGATATTGGATGTGCACGAGATGTTGTGTTTTACTGGATTGTCTGTGCATCTCTTGAGTTTAACTTGTGGTTCCTGAGGCTGTGCATTGTGAAAGGTGTCAAATAGGTGAAGGCATGTCTGAGGTTTTAGCATTTGCGGTGAGCTATTCTTTTTAAATTTGATTGTTAGGTAGATGAGTGGCTTACATTGTTTCTAAGTCTTTGTTGGTAAAGTTTTATGCTATTGTTCTTGTTGAGTAAGTTTTGGTCCAGCATATCAAATGTTTGATATAATGATGATTATGATATCTCACTTATCTTTTTCTAAGTAGTATACTCCCCAGTATTATTTAGTTCATTCTTTTTTAATTTGATTGGTAGGTAGATGAGTGGCTTACATTGTTTCTAAGTCTTTGTTGGTAAAGTTTTATGTTATTGTTCTCGTTGGGTAATTTTTGGTCCAGCATATCAAATGTATGATACAATGATGATTATGATATCTCACTTATCCTTTTCTTAGTATACTCCCCAGTATTATTTAGTTCATTCTTTGGATTGACTCAACTGAATTCATTGCAGTAGAGATACATTGCAATTGCTGGAGTTGATTGACTCTAAATAAAATGCTGAAAACATGTTTTGTAGTCATCATTTTCAAGCGTCAGGTTGACATGATATTATCAAGAACATCTGAAACTTGTAAAAAACTGTACTAAAGTCAGCAGCTGAAAAAGGTTTTGGAAAATGGAACCTACAAATAATGATGTCTCAGTCTCACCTGTTATCTGTAATTTCTGACATTTTTTATTGAAGCACATACATCTTAGATCTTTTTCTCTTGAAGTTTGTGTATTTTTTATCCTGGATTTCCTATAGAGTTTTGAATATTGATCAAAGGATTTGTCCTTGTTGCCCAGCTTCATAACGCTGAGTGATCATCATGGGTGTATGCATATCAAAGCCAAGCGGTAGATCTAGGACTCGAAAGTACACCCACAGATCCAGAAAATACCATGGAAAAATTTCAGGTTCCCGTCCTAAGGCATCTAAAACTCAGATTGGCACTGCTGGAAATTGCTTAACTGATTATGCTTTAAGTGAGTTTGTTCATGTTGAGACTGCTGCAAGAACAAGCGGAAAATTCCATCTAACGCAGTTGCAGTGGCACCATAGTCAGATTGACTCTTATGGTACTGTTCTTCAAACTCGAACTATTTTCTATCTGGATATGTATACTATACATTGTATGACAGTTTTCCTAGACTCTGCTTAGAATTGTTTTTTGTAAGTTGATTGTTTTGCTTTCTATTTCTTTTTCAAATATATACACCCTGGCATTTGCTTTGCCTAGTTGGTTTGCCTCATAATAATCTTGCACCTTCCTAGATCTACTCTTGATGTTTTCTTTTCTGTATTTATACTGATGGCGAAGTAAATCTAAAAGAAGTGTGTACTGAGGTTAATTCCAATGAATCAACATGGCCACAATAATAATCATCGTAATATGAAATATGAATCATCATAATAATTATCGTTCGAATGGGAGGAGTTCACTTCTTTTGACATGAGCAATTTCTTCATACATCCTGTGAAAATAGAAGATAGTGGTAGAAGGCACCACATCGAAGAAAACAGGAAGAATTACCCACTACAAGATCAGATGGTCATTTGCTCTCTTGATACTATGTATATTGTTATTTTCTTCCTCAAAGTCTAACCTACATACAAATGTTTGTAGGAATATGCCAGGAAGACACATGGTTTGACTCGGTCAGCATTTTAGAGTCTGATTCTGATGATGATTTCAGCAGTGTCCATGGAGGTCAAGTACATGAATCCTATGAGATATAATTTCATAACTGACCTTCCAACAAGTACTTATTACTTTTTATCATTTGCAGATTCTAGTCCATCAGTGGATGAAATAGGGGCTCAAATGTTGCAATATGAAAATGCTTCACGACTAGTTGATGCAATGTATAAGTTGGAGGGATTTTGTGGTACTACTCCAGTGACGTTGGCAGTTGAACACTACTTAAAAAGAGAAGGTAAGATGGATAAGATTTCATGCAAGGACGAAGCGAAGGATGCTGATGGCTCAGAAATTATAAAGCCTCACCGTCGTGAACTTCCTATGGGAAAGGTCAATAAGACCCTAGGCTCCGAAGCTTGTATGAAGAAGAGAAAGTTTTTGGCAGATTCATATGGTAGCTTTAAAGGTTTGAGAGAAAGACATGATACTGAAGAGAAGTCTCTTGGGAACAAGAAACAATCATACTTGCGCAAATTAGTTTCTTCTGTGAGCTTCAATGATAAGATCTATCACATGACAAAACTTAGCCCATCTTGTCAAAAGAAAAAGTCTGCAGTTATCAGGCTTTCTTACACAAGGAAGTCTTATGATGGAGAAGAAACCACCGAGTTCCGTGAGTATAAACAATTAACATCCACTCTGTTTAATTTTTATTTTATATATATATATATATATATATATATA